GCTTATATCTAACCGAGAAGCAGGATTTCAGCAAGAGTAAATCTTGACCTAAGCATTAGCTATAATTTTTAGCATCTGTAAGATTACCGGTATAGTGAGCAAAGTGGTCCGTAAAATAGAGATGTCGCGGACCATTCGGGTCCGTAAAACAGATTTGTCGCCGACCATGGTCCGTTGGTCCGGTCCGGTCCGTTTTTTAGGGACGACCTCGCGAAACGTTCCGCAAGGTTCCGCGCACGTATACGACAGTGCGCGGAGCGGAACCTGTCTAGAATGCGGAACGGAACCATAGAGAGCGCCAGCTCGAACCATAGATCATACCGTGCTTTGCAGGTTGCTTGACCCAATTTTCTTACTTCCCGCTCACGTGACATGTATTATTAGTATGGGGAAAGTCACGTGATTACGAGTTTGCAAGGTCAAGCAACCTGCAAAGCACGGTAAATATTATACGTACATGGATTGGAAACATCACAGGAAGCCAATATTAAAAACTCCTGAAACGTCACTTCCTGTTAGTCAAAGGCTCTTTTCGGGAGATGGCGGCTAGGAGTTGGTAGGACAGATTTGGATCCAATTGTTGCTTTACTGTGTTTCCCAGGTAACTAGTATTGTATTAAAAAGCTAAGTATATGAATTGCATGCTATCATCTCCCACAATACTCACAAAGATGTAAATTTATGTCTTTTAAGACCTTGTGGGCACATTTTCTTAAAAACTAGCCATAGAATTACTTTGAATTTTTGACTGAAAAGATGTGATCTGTATGAGTCTGCATGTACTAAACTTGGCATTTTGATTAAATAAGGAAGGGTTTTAAAGTTATTAGTTTTTTTATGTTTGTTACGTGTACCACACGGTGGGCACATTTTAGGCCAATCAAGTGTATATGATGGATATTTCTTGATTCAGACATAATGTTTAAGAATGTACTTGTGTACTAGTGATGTCATTTTGTTCAATAAATGTCTTCAAATAGGAGAAATTATGAAGTGAATTGGAACTTGGAGATAGGAGGTTAAAAATTATTGAAGGTGGTGTTTTACTGCCAATTGAAGTAAGTCTTAAGTTGATCATCTACTAAAAAGCATTTTGTATTGATTTATGTCATACTAGGATCAATTTCATCTGTTATATGGTTTAATGGTAGGACTGAACAAAATACCTTTGCATGCACTGTCTACCATATTGAGAAAACCAGGAGCATGAGCCATCAGCAAACTGTAATCATCATTAATAATTGAATCTACTTGTTTGTGGCATGTCATCAAGGAATTCTACGAAGTCATCAACAATACCTCAGTGATATTAATAATACATAGTTATTTTTAATAAAATTAAATTTCAAATATTATTGGTATGTATATTTTCTCTCTTTTATATTTCCTCTCCTTTGTTTCCTTCACCTTTGGAGTATAAATTAAAATTCTTATGTTGAGAATATTTTCAGAACAGTCTTAAAGGTACTTGCTTAATGCTTCAGCCTTCAAGTAATACTGTCACTTTTTTCCACGTGGGTAATGATGTCACTTCCTACGAAAAGAGCATGTGACCATCCGGTCTTGCCCTGTTTCCAATCCATGTACAGCGCTTTGCACAAAACTTGCACCAGTGTAATCACGTGACTTCATAAAAATATTAAGTTAAGCCTATGGCTAATCATCACGTGACTAGAACTGGTAGTGGCAAGTTTAGTGCAAAGGGCTGTACAGTATCTATGATTCTATCATAGATACTATTTACCCCTGGATACGAAACTCCTCTATGCACACATATAAAATCCCATAAGGAAACGTCATAAACGTCACATCCGGCTGTCCTCACCCTTGTTTCGCTGCATTCATGGCTGCCAGGGTAAGTAAAACAATCACAGTAGCCTATTCGTTTGTTAAAGTAGCTGAATGATCCCTCAGAAGACTTTGCAAAGCCTTTATATATTGAAATAATGCTCATAAAAGATAGCTTGAGTGCATATTATAGTTCTACAATGGATGTCAAGCCTACTTGTTGTGCACATTTCACTCAAGCCACTTTTTTAGCTTAACTCTGTTGAATTAGGCCAACATTTTTTATTGTACTGATAGGTTATTGTTTACTAGTTGTAGTGGGGCTATTATTTAGAGTTTGTGTTAAGTAAAAGAGCTGTTATTTCCTAAATCTTGGTTTTTCAAGCCCCACCTTTCTAGCCAATTTTTCTTTGTAATACTTGACTTAATTGGAACTTTTTCTATATGGTTTTGTAGCTTGAGAATAGGTAGTTGTAGTGGGCCTATTCTCAAAAGGAGTGTATTTTTAGTTTTGGTGCAATTGTGTTGTCAAATTCATCATTTTTAGGTGACAAGAGATGGGAAAGTCATGCATTGGTAGACTGCATATACTAAAAGAAAAGGAAAGTTTCAGCAATTATAATGCATGATAAATGTCAAGTTTTATTGTATTATTGTACATAAAATCACACTTTTATTAGCAATAATAATAATACTTTTTATCATTGTTTTATTTTTATTCTGAATGAAAACGTAATTGGGCGAAGCCCTTACTTACAAGAACTTGAACGTACGTCTGGGCGTGACTGGGAGGTGCGGTCTGGAGGCGGAGCCCCTCAATGTTTTACATTCTTTCTAGTATGACGTATTTCCGGTGAAACAAGCCTCAGAACATCCGGTCGGGCCATGTTTCATATCCAGGGTTCTATCGATGTCTAAACGCACGTGCTACCTTAGAGGTGTGTCTACCTTCTAGTAATCAATTAACAACTAGGCGAATGTAGAACATTGAAGGGGCGAGCACAAGCTAGCATGGCAATATACAATGTTTAGATGTCACAAAGGCTAATGTTGTTGTCAAATTGTAAATTGAATGATACACATGCAGAGCACTGAGCTCAGAACTTGTGACTTGCATGCAAGGAAATTTTATAGCTTGCTCTTCTCTCTTTATTAGCAGTGAAGAATCTCAGTTGTAACTTTAATAAGTATAATTTAATTTTTACTATGATATTTTCAAGCACAGTACTTTTAGACTCTCTTTTCTCTGATGAGCCATTTGAAGTGCTTTTATATTCTGTCATTCAACCATAATTAATAAAAACTTGAAGATTTATGTGTGTTTTCTTGAATTTTCTCTGCTGATGAAGTGTCTTGACAAGAGATCAGTCCTATGTTGCTGCAAGTAAGATTGGCTAAGGTAGGTGCCATTTTAATTTCATTGCAACCACACCCACATCAATGAAAATATTTCATTAGAATGCTACCGCATTAGATCATTGATTTTTAAATAGAGAGTTGTGCACACATGGGTGTGACCAGAATAGGCGTGACTGGAGACGTACGTACATACATACAGAGGGAGGGAGGGAGGGAGGGAGACTTCGCCTGAGTGGGGCTCGCTTATGCTCGCCCCAATTATCACTAATCTAATACTTTTAAAATCTTTAGCGATGGTATTTTCCTATCTTTGCTAAATAAATTTGTGTAGTTTCAACATAGATACTACATACACACATTGATATGAAACAGGACTGAAGTCGGTATCCAATTAACTCTTTGAAGTTCACCTGTAAACGTCATAACCAGCATAGCTCTATCCTTGGCGCTTTTCTCTCTGTCTATGTTTTCAAGAATTTTCTTTACTCACTTATTTTTGTGAAAGAAGGTATATAGGTGTTTTTGTTTTGTTCAGTAGACCTAATAAATATATTCTCATTTCATTTTGTCAACAGGCCTCATGTTTACAAGACAAAATGAGACCTCCATTTTTATTTGTAACCACCTTTTCTAGACTCTCGAACGGAGTTAGCTAGTAAGTCTTGGAATCATAATAGTGTATTGTTTGTTACATGGACTGAAACTATTCTCGTGTCAATGTAATGAGAAATGACTGAGATAATAGCCAAAAACTAGTTTTTTTATATTAATTTTGTAACCACCTTTTTGAGACTTCTGCACCAGGTATGAACAAGTTACTACTTTGAGTGTATTCATTAAGGCCTCTTATATAGACTGTTTATGGTTTCATTTTTCTAGATGCTATGTTTCAAAAGTAATAATATATTTTTTGCAAGTGTTTCAAAGGGTGTGGTTTAATTTTTAGTGAGAACTGAGTAGTGAAAGAATAGGTTATTTACCAAGAAACACAAGCAGGATTTCAGTGGCATTGATGAGACATTGTTACATGATTGTAAAGCTTTATATTTATGCTACCACAGAGAACTATCAAGATAGAGATGATGTACATTACAGTATGTACTGTATGGTGATACAGTAAGTGCGGCTTATAATAATTGTTGTCAATGTTTTTATTGCTATTTTTATAGTTAAAATTTGTTGAAGGACTCATAATAATAATCAATCTATTGGGTCACTGAAGAATAGAATAATCATGGGTCACTGAAGAATAGAATAATCATTATAATGATAATAATTTAAATAATAATTTTTTTAGTACTTAGCACAGTGCATTCTTTCTTGTAATAGTAGATCTTCACTTTTTAAAACTAGAATATCGATTGCAACTCTTATATAGTCGTAGACCTGAGCTTTAGTAAGTAATTCAACTGGATTTCTTCACGATTTTGCTTGTGCCATGCTTATACACGTGTAGTGTAAACGTCACAATACATCACTTCCGGTGCCAAGGATCCTGTTTCATATCCATGTGTGTATGTAGTAGGGCCTGCCTGAAATGCGGATCGGGCTGAAATGCGGAACGCTCGC